TAGCATAAAGAGTCACAGGCTCCAGGGATTAGAATGTAGCCATATTGTGGACAGTTATTCTTCCCATCACAGCACCCATTTCCCTGTATTCAATCCCCCTGTACCCCAAAGACAGTCAGGTCCTGGGTGATGGGACCCTCGTGGACACCCTCAGCAGAAGCTCTGGGATTCAGGAGGTGGGACAAGGAGAAGCCCAGACAGGAGCCCTCTGACCTGTGACCATGATCGCCAGGGGGTCGCTGAGTGCCGACCACTCAGTGAGGGAGTGCGGGTGTGAACCCCAACATCTGTAGGTCCCTGCGTCTGCTGGAGTCACAGGGCCCATGAGGAAGCTCTCCTGGAATATTCTGCTGTGGAAGACGGGAACGTGGCTTCTGTCTTCTTTGTACAGAGTGAAGTTGGTAAAGTTGTTAAGCCCACCACGATAGTGACACCGAAGAGTCACGTGTCCTCCCTGAGGCACCAGAGCGCTGGGCTGGGCAGACAGGAAGGGCTTGTCCTGACCACCTTGGGGAGAAGGAGGCGCCACTTTAGAGAGGAGGATGTGGAGCTGCCCCTCCGTGTGCTCAGGAGATTCTTCCCCTTTCCATGTTTCTAAGGCTCCTACCACACCTGGGTGTCCAGGGCTACAGGAAGGACCCATCCCACATAGATATGGCGTCTCCCTACAACAAAGGTGTCAGCTGAGAACTTTGAACAAGTGCTGAATAAGGGACTCTTACTAGATTTTAACACTTCAAGATGACTCGCATAAAACAACACAAAGTAGACACGGCATGGAAGGCATGTCCCTTGTGAATGGAATTGATATTCCATTGCATGAACTGAGCTCCCATCAGAAGATTTGGAATGTCAGCGTCATGGCTGTGGTTTCCCTACTTCTTCTGGTAGAATGACAGCAGCCACACTGCAGCCTTGACCGTCATGGAAACACTGGAGGGTGTGAGTTACACCTTTGTCTTCAACTTTGTGTCCTCAGGACCTGTTCCTAGCACTGCTTCCCCTCCTTCCTCGGTCGCTGACACCACTTCCTCCCCTGCACCTCAGCTTGGAGCACCCCAAGCTCACCCACAGTCTTTACAGAGCTTGACTCAGCCAAGGGGTAAGAAAGGAGAGGCCAGGAGACCGAGGTCGGAAGTGCTGAGCCCCGAGGCACCCCAGGTCCCCCCTTTGCTATTGTATAAGAGACTCTCTGACAGGACTTCCACTCCTGTTTCAGGAATCCTCTTGGGTGGGGGAGATGACCCCTGGAGTTGGGGAAGAACTCTCCGTGTGTGGACAGATCCTCTGGACCAAAAGAAAGACAGCCCTGGAAAGAAAGATCTGATGGATGATCTGTCTGCAGGCAAACCAGGGCTTCCCCTGCTGCCACACTGGAGGCTGTCTTCTTGCGTCCTGGGCAGCCAGGCCTTTTTGGGCTGACTCACCCTGTGCCTACCTGCCCACGCGGCAGGATGTCAGCTGTGCAGGGGCAGCCTCCCGGATCAGATCTGCACGAGGCCTAGATCTACACAACAGGCCCACATGTCCGCTCCATGTGATATCTCCTCAGGCTGCTATCTGTACTCCAGGCTCTTTATCTCCCTCCAAACCACTTATCTCCAATCCCAGGCTAATATCTCACTCCCAGGCCCATATCTCAACCCTAGGCCCATATCTCCACCAAACCCTTATCTCTCCACTCCAGGCCCCATATCTCCACTCTAGCCCGTATCTCACTCACGCTCATGTCTACTCCCAGGATCTATCTCTATTTTCAGTTCGTATTACTCTGGGCCCAAATCACCTCCAAGCCAAAAAATTTCTATGCCCAGGCCCAGATCTCCACCCCGGGCCCATATCTCCTTTCCCTCCAGGCCCAGATCCACGGGCCCCAGGTCTCCACCCCAGCGCTTCCTCTGTCAGGATTCCCTTCCAGGACTCTTAACACTGCATGTGCTGTGACGGCGACATGGTATGCGATTACAGACAAGCGGCAGCGCTTCCCAGCTCAACTCGGCAGCGCACAGGATGTTATCACAGGCGCCCTGCCCATGCAGTAGTGCTGACCACATCATGGGAGGGTGACGTACGCAGGCTCTTCTACATGGCGCAGCAGATTTGCTCACTCAAGAGGAAAATGGCTTCACACAAATGGTTCTCACTAGAACCCCAGCCCACCCCTTTAAATCCTTCACTCGACCAGCTCAAACACGTCTCAAATCCAACCTCCGGACACGAGGTGACTAAAATCTGAATGCTGGCCATTGAAAGACTTTTTACGTATTTTTATTGAAATTTTTATCTGTGAACTGCAAACTCTTCTCTGTGTGTAATATGCAAAATATCTATGTATTATGAGCGTTGTCAGAGAGCAATTGTGTGAATAAACCATTAGGATGTTTCATGCTTGTATTTCTAGTATGACAGCAGAACCAGTTTAAATGATTTAAATATTATGAACGTTGTCAGAGCAATTGTGATGAATAAACCATTAGGATGTTTTATGCTTGTATTTCTAGTACGACAGCAGAACCAGTTTAAATGATCTAAATACCCAGGGAAGGATTATGCAATTATTTACAATCTTAGAACTGTTCTTTATCAGCAAAACCCACAACATGTCAATTCTGGATTTTTGTCGTTTTATCTACAATTTGTCTCATGACCTGAGAGTCCAGAGTCCCAACTCCTGGTTCGCTCTCTCTCTGTCTCTCTGCCTCCCTCATTTTAAATTGTGTGGAAATATCCAGTAACATAATGCTATAGAAAATCAAGTGTCCCCCAGCACTTTGGGAAGCCGAGGTGGACGGATCAATGGAGTTCGGGAGTTCGAGACCTCCCTGGCCAACTTAGTGAAGCCATGTCTCTGCTAAAAATACAAAATTAGCCATGCCTGGTGGCTGGCACCTGTAATGGCAGCTACTCAAGAGGCTGAGGCAGGAGAATCGCTTGAACCTGGGAGGCGGAAGTTGCAGTGAACCGAGATTGTGCCACTGCAGTCCAGCCTGGGTGACAGAGCGAGACTGTGCCTGAACAAATATAAAAAAAGCGTAGCAAATAGCCTATAATAAGAAACTAGAGGACTCCAGCTACCAAATTTTAAGGGGTTGTGTAAGCCTACACAATGTGCAGCATCCTCAAGAGAGTGAACACAGAGAGCCCCTTATCAGAAAACTGTGTCTAAAATACATCCGTGCACACACAGTCCTGTTAGAGTTGACAAAGGCTGCCGTGTGGTTTAAGGAGGAATAGAATGTCTTCTCCATAGATAACACGGGCCCAAGTGTTACGCATAGAAAAAATAAATCTACGCGTATTCTCACACTATAAAACACTTCTTGTTTTTTATCTTGTTGTTGTAAATTTTTTATGATTTATATTTAAAATTGAGAAATAAAAGTTAGATACAGTCGTGCTTCACTATTCGTGGGTGATTGGTTTCAGGATCTCCTCTCAGGTTCCACAATCTGCAGGTGCTCAAGCCTCTTACATAAAATCGCAGAGCGTTTGCATATAACCCAGGTTCATCCTCCTGTATACATGAAATCATCTCTAGATTACTTATAATTCCTGACTCAGCCTACACACCATTCCGTTTGTGTCCATTCAACGTAGTTTTGCTTTTTGAAACTTTGCGTTTTTTTTCTCTGAATATTTTTGATTTATAGTTGGCTCAATAATCACCTGTAAACCCCACAGGTCTGTAGGAGCGACTGTGTATTTATGGTATGAAGATGATGTGTTGACATGTGTCCCCGTGGAGATGAGACTAACAAGGCCTATGACTCTACAGATATTTCATGTTGGAATGGCTCTGCCAGCTTTCCAGGTCTGCAGAGAGTAAGAATATCACTTGTTCATCTGATTCATGATCCTTGTAACCTCCTATGCGCTGCATCGTTAGATGGAAATTGGAGTTCCAGAGACAAATCAGGCTCCACCTGCCTCCAGAAGCTCAGAGTCCAGGGGTGAGAATCCAGTGGAGAACAGATGGGGCTATACGGACATAGTAATGATAACACCAGAAACTTTCGGCGAATAAAGAGTCACATTACCTAAAGGATGAGGGCAGATGTGTTTATTTGAAGAGGAGAGCGCTACGTTGAAATGATAAAAAAATTCTTAAGTTTCACTGCTGACAGAAGGCTGAAAGATAGTCTGGGGGGAGGTGGAACAGCATGAGGGAAGGTGGAACAGCATGAGTCTAAGTGCCGTGTTAAAAGGGAGCGTCTTGTATGTTTGGAATTGTGAGTTCCTCAGTGTGACTGCAGCCTCCAGCAGGACTAGGAAGTAAGCCAGTAGGTTGGAGAGGTGGGCAGGGGTCAAGTGAAATGGAGAATTGTGGGCTAAGCAAAGGAGTGTGTTTTCTCTGCAGCAGGCAGTGGGGACCTTAGACATTTGTAAGCGAGAGAGAGGCACGTTCAGATTCGTGGTGTGAGGAAGAGCGATGCCTTAAGATTCAGACTCACACCTTCAGATTCCTGCTGCTGGTACATTGCAGCTGGCAAGCCGGTTTTGAGACAGGGCTGTTGTCTCCCTAGAAGACCCCTTCAAGGCCTGACGGTGGTGCTCATGGGTAGAAGACAACTTTTGATCTGGGCTCAGCATTTGGAAGCTCTATGTACATGCTGGTGTCTGTTGGGGGTGTCTTGGGCCTCTGAGAAGAGCGAGTGATTTTTCCCTGTGTGAGAACGCAGTGATCCAACTGTGCGTATGTCACCTCCTGAGGGTCTTGTTCATCAGAGTCCTGGAGAGAGGGAAATGTTGAGTGAGGGAGGGGCTCACATTCTTCAGGACTATTAGGGAATAAAGCAGTATCCACGAGGTTGGGCAGAGGAGGACCTACCTCCCTGTTCACTGTTCTGTCCCCTGCAGGCTCTTGGTCCATTACAGCAGCATCTGTAGGAGACAGAAGTCATCAAAACAGCTGGGAGGGCCCATCTGGGTCCTCATTTCATGTGCAGAGCCCAACACACAGGGGAGGCCGTAGGTGCCTGAGGTCCCTCAGCTGCCAACAGCCAGGCTCAGACATTCTGTCTCTCTGAGTTCAAGGCCCATCCCATGAATGGCTCTCAACTGGCATCCCAGTGATTCTGCCTCCCACACAGCCAGACCTGCAGACATTCGCCTCGGAGTTCAAGACCCCCTTCCCATGAATGGCTCTCAATTGGCATCCCAGTGATTCTGCCTCCCACTTTCTGCCTGTCATGGAACCTTCTCCTGGATGTCAGTGGCTGCAGGGACATGAGGATACAGCTGAGAATCGTGGTCTGTGAGCTGAAGGCAGGGACAGGTGTCTGGGTGCTCTCTAGAAAGCTCTGCCTCTGTGGCTCCTGTCTTGGGCCGAACCATGCTGCCGGTGAGGAACACACACCTGCGTGCTCCCATCCTCCTCATCCTTCCTCCCCACACGCCCCCTTAGGTCTGTGGCCTCTGCTTCGTGGAGACTTACTCTTTTTTGTTGGAGCACCAGCGATGCAGGAGAATGAAGAAGATGGTGAAGAGGATCATGACCACTGAGGTCCCAATCAGAACATGCAGGTGTCTGGGGTTACCTGGAGGAAGAAGAGACTCCAATAAGAAGCTAATCATAGCAGTTCCTTCTTATGGATTGTCTCGCATTTCTTGATTGACAGGTAACCATGTGGAATGTCTGCTTAGGACAAGCGGCCCGACGGCGGGAGACCCAGCTTTCTCCTGCTCTCTCGGTTACAGCTCTCACGGTCACCATGGAACGTGCTGAATATACAACTGCTTTAGTTTAGATGTTTGACCCCTTGAAACCTCACATTGAAATTTAACCCCCAGTGTGGGAGGTTGGGCCTCTTGGGAGGTGTTTGGGTCATGGAGGTGGATCCATCATGAATAGATCAACGCTGTCCCCACATGATGGGGTTAGCAAGTTGTCCCTCTATTAGATTCTGGAGAGCTGATTATTAAAAAGAGGTTGGAAGCTCCATCTCTCCCCCTACCCCTTGCTCCCTCCCTTGCCGTGTGATCTCGGTGTTCTCTGCACCCACGGACCCTCCTTCCCTTCTGCCAGAGTGGGAGCAGCCTTAGGCCGTCACAGGAAATAGATGCTGGTTCCATGCTTCCAGTACAGTGTGCAGAACTGTGAGCCAAACAAATCTCTTTTCTTTAGAAGTTACCCAGGCTCAAGTGTTCTTTCAGAGCCACAAAAATGGACTAAGACAGCAACATCCTGAGAGCAGGAGGAACGTCTCAGAACAGGCTGGGCTCTCTTCCTGTTCTTCCTAGAAGGACTGGCTCACATTGAAATGCAGGCTTCTGTTGTCAGTTGCTGGTTATCTGTTAGGAATGAACCTGCCTATGTCATGTATTCTCTGTGTGTTCTGTCTCCCTGGAGTGACGGTGAGTGACAGAAACTGTCATAGCCCCAGGTGCAGTACAGGAGGTGTTTAGAGTCTTCTCTGGGAAACATCCTGAGAGCAGGAGGAACGCTCCCCAGGAACAGGCTGGGCTCTCTTCCTGTTCTTCCTAGAAGGACTGGCTCACATTGAAATGCAGGCTTCTGTTGTCAGTTGCTGGTTATCTGTTAGGAATGAACCTGCCTATGTCATGTATTCTCTGTGTGTTCTGTCTCCCCTGAGTGACGGTGAGTGACAGAAACTGTCATAGCCCCAGGTGCAGCAGGGAGGTGCTTTCTAGAGTCTTCTCTGGGAAGACTGGGACTGGGATTGATACACAGTGAATGTGCCTTGGCAGTTTCTACATCTGCACAACATTCTTGACTCAAGCAACAACATTCTCCAACAAAAGGAAACAAAAGTGAAATCAAGATCAAAAAAGCAAATTCTCTTATGTCAAACAGCCAGGAAATAATGATGAAGCTGCCAGGTGAAATGTGCTACTTTGTGATCTCGGAGACACATATAAGGCTGCTGTTCTGCCGGAGAGCTCTGGGAAGGACAAGGTCCTCCACCATCTGTTGCTTCACTCCACCATCTGTTGCCCTTCTTGTGTTTAGTAGGAAAGGGGGGCAGGAGCTAGTGCTGTTGATCTCTGATTCCAAGATCTGAACTCACTCTAAGGAGTACTAGTGTGTACCTCCTCATGGTCTATCTGAATCTCCACAGCATTGGAAGTTAGTGAGGTGGGGATTTGCGTGAGGGGGAAAGTGTTTTGCACGAACAGAGTACACGTTTCTATTCCTGACCTGTGCTGGTGGGTTCAGGGCTTTCATATTTTCTGTATGATCTCATGTTCACAGAAACAAAGTAGGGAAGAGGTTTTAGGCTGGATTTTCTTTTTTTTTTTTTTTTTTGAGATGGAGTCTCGCTCTGTCGCCCAGGCTGGAGTGCAGTGGCCGATCTCAGCTCACTGCAAGCTCCGCCTCCCGGGTTCACGCCATTCTCCTGCCTCGAGACCCCGAGTAGCTGGGACTACAGACGCCGCCACCTCGCCCAGCTAGTTTTTTTTTGTATTTTTTAGTAGAGACGGGGTTTCACCGTTCGCAGGGATGGTCTCGATCTCCTGACTCCGTGATCCGCCTCTGCCTCGGCCTCCCAAAGCGCTGGGATTACAGGCTTGAGCCACCGCGCCAGCCTAGGCTGATTTCAATGGATGGGCATAGTTGATCAAGGGAAGCAATTCCAGAGATCTAGAAAATGGTGATTGAACTGAGGTACCTTTGTCATTCATGTATGTTGTATTATATTTTTGTGTTTTTATTTTTTGAGATGGAGTCTCCCTGTGTCACTCAGGCTGGAATGCAGTGGGTGATCTCGGCTCACTGCTTTGCCTCCCGGGGTTGAAGTCATTCTCCTGGTTCAGCCTTCAGAGTAGCTGCGATTACAGGCATGCAATTGTTCTCATGCATGTACTATTTGACCCATTTTTAGTAGAGACAGGGTTTCACCCGTGTTGGCCAGGCTGGTCTCAACTTCCTGATCTCAAGTGGTGTAGTCCACATCAGCCTCCCAAAATGCTGGGTTAGAGGCATGAACCACCATTCACAGCCTTGTATATTATGCTGTAATAGGTCCCTTCATTTGCAAATTCATGCCTCGCTCTTTCTATCACTCTACCAGGTATTGATTTACATGTAGGAGAAATAAATCTCAGAAAGAAATTAATGAAGCAAGGAAAAAACAACTAGGAAAATCAAACCCAGCAAGCCCTCCCTGCAAATGATTCTACCTCACAAACATATCCTGTATCCATCCACTTCATCCACTCAGTGTCTAAATCAGCACCATCAAGCCACCAGTGGGGCGGAATCGCCTTTTCCATGGTCTTCTAGATTCCAGTTACACACCTGGGCCTCCTTATGTTCATGTTGGGTCATTATTACATCATGTAGGGATTCTCTAGTTAGCCCGAGGTGAATCCAAGGGCTGTGAGTATAAAACACACACTTTGTCCTCCTGGCTCCCTGTGTGCCCAGTGTGCTCTCTTCTCTCTCTCCAGTGGTCTTGTAATTCTCCCATCTCATTCCCAGCATTTCAGGCAGAGCCTCTTCCTTCCACATAAGATTGTTTTCACCTTCGTGCCTTCACGGCCATAGCTGTGTTTGGAAAATCTTCCGCCTCAGTCTTCCATTTTTTTCTGTCAACATCACACAAATATGTGATTAGTGAGAACTTCTCTGTCACCTGAAATCACACTAACATTATCTAATATTTATTTCCAGAATTCTGACTGGGTGCCGTGGGTTTATGCCTATAATCTGAGCACTTTGGGAGGCTGAGGCGGTCGGATTACTTTAGACTGGGAGTTGGAGATAGACTGGGCAACATGGTGAAACATCGTCTCTACCAAAAATCTACAAAAAGAATTAGCCAGGTGTAGGCAGCCTGTAATCCAAGCTACCCAAGAGGCTGAGGCAGGAGGAATCACTTGAACCCAGGAGGCGGAGGTTGCAGTGAACTGAAGATCGTGACACTGCACTCCAGTGTAGGGATAGAGTAAGACTCTGTCTTAATTAAAATAAATAAATAAATAAATAAACAAATAAATAGATTTTATGCACAGATATTTCCCAATAGATCAGCCATTTATAGGTCCACTTGTGCATTCGTTTTCTTTCCTCTCACTCCATCTGCAACGTCAGTGTCCTAAGAGCACAGGCCAAATGTGAACCCTGTTTACTATTTGTGGAAGGCAGAGAATCCACCCCACCCCCAAAAATGTCCCTGTCCTAGCCTTCACACCTTGTGAATATGTGATTTTTACATGGAAAAGAGAATGAAGATTGTAGATGGAATTATAGTTAATCAGCTGAACTGAAAAGGAGGGTATCCTGGCGATATTAGGGAGGATGATGGATTATCTTGGGTTGAACGCAATATAATCCCAAAGTCCTTAAAAGATGAGGAAGAAGGCAGAGGAACAAGTTCTATAAAGAGGTGTGGACAAGGAAGAAGGGTCTGAGTGATGCCATGTGAGACGTGGACTCAGTCTTTGTGGGTTTTGAAGAAGGAGGAAGGGACCAGGAGCCAAGGAACGTGGAGTCTCTAGAAACTGGGATATGTGGAAAGCAGATTCTTGCCTGGAACCTTCGGAGGGAAGGCAGCCTTGCTGTCACCTTGATTTTAGCTCCTGTGAGATATTTCCATCCTTTGAGCTACAGCACTGTAAGATACTTAAAAAGCCATGAGCCATCCACCAATTTTGTGGAAATTTGTTATGGCAACAATAGGAAAGGATTCTAACTGCCCAACCTGAGCATGGGGCCATGGCTGAATGAGTCAGTGAGCCGAAGTGTGTGTTCAAGGCTCTTTACTGCAAGGCTCTTGCTCTGCTGAGTCAGCCAGGGTTGCCTCATGACCAACAGGAGTTCATTCCTTGGCAAGTGAAACTTCTTTAAAACACCTCACCCTCATTAGATGTTCCCTTCCCTTCCCTCTTTCAAGCCCCAGGAATTTATGTCTCTGTTAGGAATGCAGGGAGAATAAACACTGCATTTTTCCCAGAGAAGGATGTCAGATCTGCAATCATTCTTCCAGCTTGTAGGAGGTCTCAGCTAGAAATTAGAGATTATGACTTCACGGAGCTCCTGTGCTGGGCCAAGATCCCTTTGCTTTTGGAGTGTCTGGAGTTCAGAGAGATGGTGTGAAGACAGGCTCTGGCTGTAGCCAGAGCTGGAGGTGCTGAGCCAAGGCTTGAATCCAAGGCTTCCACCTCCCCAGGTTTCCAAAAGCAGAGATAAGAGGGATTCCTTGCCCACCGGTTTGGAGTTTGGTTCAGTGGGCGAAGGCCAACTACGTGAAGGGTTTCCTAGAATAGAGACAGGACAGAGGTGAGGAAATGAGGGTGCCTGTCCTCTACTCAAGGGAAATCTTTAAGGTTGGTTCATGGCCAACACTGTGCTATCCAACGATGGGCTCTGGGAGTCCTGGGATCCTCTTCTCCATAATTTTTGTATGTGTTATCCATTGTCTCAAGACTTTAAGATATAGAGGGAAAACAGGAACATCACATTACCTGACTTAAAAATATGTTACAGAGCTGTAGTAAACAAAACAGCATGACGTTGGCATAAAGAAAAGTGCATAGAACAATGGAGAAAAATGAAGAACACAGATATAATCTATTCGTCTACATTCAACGGCTTTTTTTTTTGAGATGGAATCTTGCTCTGTCACCCAGGCTGGAGTGCAGAGGTACATTCTTGACTCACAGCAACCTCCGTCTCCTGAATTCAAGCAATTCTCTTGCCTCAGACTCTTGAGTAGTGGTATTACAGGAGTTGACCACCATGCTCAGCTAATTTTTGTACTTTTAGTGGAGACAGGGTTTTACTATGTTGGCCAGGCGGGCCTCGAACTCCTGGTCTCAGGTGATCCACCCACCTTGGCCTCTGAATGTGCTGGGATTGCAGGTGTGAGCCACCATGCCCAGCCAATCCAATGCATTTTGACAAAGGTGCCAAGAACGTACAATCAGGAAAGGACAGACTTTTCAATAAACGATGTGGGGAAAACTGGTTACCTACATGCAGGGAATGAAATTGCACCTCTACCTCTCACCATTCACAAAAGTCAAATCAAAATGGATTAAATAAACTGGGTTTACATCCAAAGGAAAGGACTTCAGTATATTGAAGTTCTAACTATACTCCCATGACTGTTCCAGCACAGTTCACGGTAGCAAAGATGTGGAGTCAACCTACCTGCCCCTCAGTGGGTAAATGGATAGAGAGAATGTAGTACATACACACAGTGGAGACTACTCATCCATAGAGATAGTAACATCCTGACATTTTCAGCCACATGGATGGAACTGGAGCTCATTACAAAGATTCCCATTTCTCACCCTTATGCAGGAGATCTAAAGTGGATCTCAAGAAGGTAGAGAGTAGAATGGTGGCTACCAGAGGCCAGGAAGGGAACAGTGGAGGGTAAAAACAAAACAAAACAAAACTGAATATAAATGTATTTATGATCACTAGACTTCACACTTAAAAACAGTAAAAGTGTTCAATTTTATAGGTATATTTAACCTCAACAAATATTTTTTCAAATGAAAAGAAAAAGGTGCAAGGGTTGCTGGTGATGATATGTCTGTGTGGGTGAGAGGCCAGGATGGGCTTCAGGGAAATGGGTAAGGTTGAGGGGCTGAGGGAACCTCTGATCTCCCCAAACTGAGCCCAGTCTCCCTCCTCTGGGTCTGTCCTGACCAGTTTCTCCATCTGCCTGGGTGCCTGGAGCCCTGACCGCGGACCACCACACAGGCCATGCAGGAGGGTTTGGAGGTGCCCTCTCTGCCATCCTGCGTCCTGATCCCGCCCTCACACTGAGGCTTGGTCTTCTCTCTGAACCTGTCCATGCTTCTCTCCATCATCAGCAGCAAGTTCCTCACTATGGCTCTGGGATCATAAGACATGGGACAGGCATGGCGTTTCCTCACCTGTGACAGAAACATGCAGTGGGTCACTCGGGTCTGACCACTCGTAGGGTGCGATATGGAAAGAACCAAAGCATCTGTAGGTTCCTCCGTGGGTGGCAGGGCCCAGAGAGAAGTCGGCCTGGAATGTTCCATTGATGTTTGGCACTGCAGGGAGCCTAAGGTCACGGGCCTCCCCCTCCCTGGATAGATGGTACATGTCAAACAAGGTCTGGGAGCTGCAGGACAAGGTCACGTTCTCTCCTGCCTGAACCGTGGGGCCCGGCTGGGCTGAGAGAGAAGGTTTCTCATATAGACCTGGAAGGAGAAGAGGCAGTTTCTTCAGGGAGGTTCTTCCTTGTCACAGCTCCCTTCACATCTGAGCTGAGAACTCACTCCCCTGCTCTATGACCTAATGCTCTCTGTCACCCTCCACCCCATCTCTCTTCATGTCTGTTTCCTCCTTCCACTTTCTCTGTCTCTCTAGGTCTCTGACCTCACTTCCCCAGCCCGAGGTGTGTTTTCCCTGGATAGAGGGAAAGTTACGCCAAACTGGTTCTGGGGAAAGCTGTGGCATGGGGCGCCAATGCTTCTTCCTGCTCTGAACTGCGGTGGCCTTGGCTGGGCTGAGAGAGAGAAGGTTTGCTGGCATAGACTGTTGAAAGAAAGATAGCAGTTTCTTCAGAGAGGTTCTTCCTTTGTCACAGCTCCCTTCACATCTGAGCTTGAGAACTCACTCTGCCTATGACTCCAATGCCTCTTCACCTCCACCCTGCTCCTCTGCGTCTGTTTCCTCCTTCCCACTTTCTGTCTCTCTCAGGCCTTTGACCTCACTTCCCCAGCCCGTGTGTGCTTCCTTTTGCATGTTGTTTTCTTCTCTCTGACCCTCTGGATTGTTGACTGATCTTCCTTTTCTTTAATTCTGAGTTTCTTACTTCTGTCTTCTTCATAACTCTCTGCACATTTCTATCTATTATCTATCAATTGATCAATCATCTACTTACCTGTCAATCATCAATTATCTATCTGTAATTCAGATTTATGTATCATGTATCTATCTTCGGTATCAATTGTCTGTCTCTCTATATATCCACAATTCATCTATTATCTACATCTTGTATCCCTCTGTCTACCCCCTCTCTCTCTCTGTCTCTGCCTCTCTCTGTCTCTAGCGTAACATCATATCTATCTACTATAAATCATCATCTATGTAGCGGCAATCCATCCATTATTTATCACCTACTACTTGGTCAATACTATCTATCTATATCTATCTTATCCATCTATCATCTGTCTTCCATTTCCTTGTCTTCTCTGCCTCTCAGTCTCTTGTTTCTATTTTGGAATCTCTATAATCCATCATCCCTCATAATTTTATCTATCTCTGTCTTTGTGCCTCCCTCAGGGTTCTGATTTGAGCCTCTTTTCTGCTCCCTTCCATCATTTTCCACTCCTCTGCCCATTTTCTCTCTCTTTGGTGTCTGTGAGTCTCTCAATCTCCTTCCTCTGCCTTATTCTGTGTGTTTATGTTCTGCTTTTGATGTTCCTGATTTCTCTCTGTGTTCTCAGGAACTACCATATGTGGGTTGTGGAATATAATCAGAATTGTAATCTCTGCAAGCACAGACACAGGGGCGGTGGCTCTGGGTTTCACTTATATCCTGGGATTGACTCTCCACTGCATGGAAGGCAGAAAGCCGTAGAACAAACAATGCACCGGTAGGTACCACAAGGCCTGAGGCCACAGGCCACTCCAGGACAGAAATATGTATACCTTTAAGCCTTTGGTAGAAACACTTTGTAGGTAAACAAATGAAATTTCAACCTGTGCCAGTCTCTAAGTGCCGAAGACGCCTCTGGAGGTCTGTCTGTCTGAGTGTCTCTTTAACTCTTTCTCTTTTCACCTCCTCGTCTGGCTCCTTGTGCCTGTCCTCAGCAGGACAATTTGGTCTTCTTGGTACTGTGTTGCCTCCTGTTTTGTTCTGTTGGTATAGACTCGCCAAGCTTCAAGTCTGTCTCCATAAGAATCCTACACTCAGGCCTCCTCAAGTGACCACCTGGGCTTCCAAGTTCTGACCACTACTCTGTGTCCAGAAAGTGACAACAGGGCAAATGTCCGATAATCTACCCAGACGGTGATGTCTGTGGGCTACTGAGCCACACACATAGAGTGGGAGTGACAGAAACTGGGAGCACTCCTGAAGTCCCTGGGTGTGACATCGGGAGCCTGATGGGAATAGTTGGCCTGGAACCCCCTATCATGGAGTTTAAACATCATGGGTGTGCGGGTTTCAAAGGCCACTCACTTTAGCAGGGCAAAGAAGTGCCCAAAACACGGCATCTACTTGGCCATTGAGATGACTGTTCTCCCTGATTTCACTCAGGGACTTTGGTGGCCAGGAGGGAAGGTTTTTCGTGGACTAGAAAGAGAAAGGTGAGGCTAGGAAGGCAGCCTCCTTTACACATCATATCCATGGGTACCTGGAACAGTGAGGGTTCTCTCCCGCTGTCTGCTCCCTCTCCTCTCTCTGTGTCTCCCTGTCTTTTATCCCCTGGGTAAGTCCATCTGTGTCCCTCCCTTTCTTCTCTTCTGTTCACTACTGTCTCTAGCATCCTAGTACTTCCTGTACTGGGTTCAGCCTCATCTCTAGAAGGTTAGCCTTGCTTCCTCACTTGACCTTTTCTTTGCCATCGCAGTGGAAGAGATCCAGGCAGGCTGTGGCATCCAGCCTGCAGCCTTGCCCACCTCTTTTGGGACAACTGAGTCTCGCAGAGGCGGAACTGATCATAAGGCAGGCACTCCAGTGTCCATGCACTCCCCTGTCTCTGGAGCTTCCTGCTACGCCTGTGCCTTCTTATGGCTCAGCTTCCACAGGTGTTCTGGAAAGTAATTCCGTGATATCACCCCCTCCCTATGTGGGATGGAGCCAGGGTGGCATCAAAGATCCTGCCTTCCGATTCTGCTGCCAACCTTCCTTGTTTGGTTTTTTAATTCACTCGACAATTAATTTGATTTTGAGATAGAGTGTCACTTTTCACCTGTGGCTGGAGTGTGTGGTGTGGTCTGTCACTGAATTTCTTTTGCCTCCCGATTCGGCGCTTATTGAATCCAGCCGTTGGTTTATCGCAAGGCTCACCACCATGCCCGCTATCCTTGTTTGTTTCTTAACTTGTCCTTGACCTGGTTCTGTAAGGTTTCTGCTCTTGAGGCAGAAATTTATCCAACATGGTGGTAAGAGAGAATACACTGACCTTCCACTTTTAGAGGAAATTGATCCAGTTCTTCCTTGGGCAAAGCAAATCAAGTCGCTCACAGAAACGTCTTCCAGACTTGAAGCGGAGCAATTCTCTGACTTCTGACTCAGAGATTCACTCGGGCAGCCAGTCATGGCTTTCCTTCACTCTCAAAGCTTCAGTGGCTGATGGAGTCTCCAGGACGCTGCTCTAATCCCCACTGTCTCCCTCCCTCCTCCTCTCGCTTGGTGCCTTGTGATTCTCACTGAGCCCAGTGTGGACAGTCCAGGCTGTCTCCCTGCATTCCTGGGTCACCATCAGCCAACTCACAGCTCTGTCTTTCCCTTTCAGTCTCGTTCTTATAGCAGGCAAGAGTCACAGGCCTAGGATTAGAATGTGAAGCACCTGGGGACAAGCACTTCTCCCATCACACCCATTTCGTATTCAATCTCCCCTTTACCCCAAAGATAAAGGTCAGGTCCTGGGTGAGGGGAATCTCTTTTGTGGACACCCTCAGCAGAAGCTCTGGGATTCAGGAGGTGGGACAAGGAGAAGTCTCCGACAGGAGCCTCTCTGACCTCGTGACCCTTATCGCCAGGTCACTGAGCCACCACTAGTCGGGAGGTGGGGTGGGGAATCTTGACATCTGTAGGTCTCTTGCAAAGTGGGGTCACAGGGTCACAGAGAAGCTTTTCTGAATATTCTGCTGGGAAGATGGAACGGGCTTGGACACATTTTTTGTACAGAGTAGCGGTGTTAAAGAACTTATCAATGTATAGTAAAGACACTTCGGAGAGTCACGTGTCCTCCCTGAGGTACCAAGGCGCTTGGGCTGGGCAGACAGGAAGGGGCTTGTCCCATCACCTGGGGAGGAAGGGAGCGCTTAGAGAGAGGATGTGGAGCGCCTCCTCCATATGTGCTCAGAAGATTTTTCCCTTTCCATGTTTTATGTTCTTACTTACACTCTGTGTCCACACAGAGGGACTCCATCCACATAGATCTGCATTTTTACAACAAAGGTGTCAGCTAGAGAACTTTGAACAAGTGCTGAATAAGGGACTTTACATTACATAGATTTTAATAATGTAAGAGCTTGACTAATGAAACACCACAAAGTAGGATACGGTATGGAGGGTGCATGTCTCAGTCAGGAATATCAGCCAGTACAATCTGAGCTCTCATCAGCGATTTAACAGCCAAGGCCATGGCTGTGGTTTCCTCTACCTTCTTCTGGTAGAATGATGTAGCAGCCATGCCACTTCCCTGCAGCCCTGACTGTCATGCAAACACTGAGGGTGAGTTACACTTCCTTGTCTCAGAGGACCTGCTGTCTTTAGCATCACATTCTCTCCCTTCCCTCAGCGTCTGACACCATTTCCCTGCACACTCACGAGAGCACTGCCAAGCTCACCCTAAGCTCACAGGGTGAGCTTCTGACTCAGCCTCAAGTGTAAGAAAGGCCAGAGGACGAGGTCGGGAAGTGTGCAGCTGAGCACCCCAGGTCCTCTGCTGTATGCTAGAGAGACTCCCACAGACTTCCTCTGTTTCGTGGAAAATCCTCTTAGGTGGGAGATGACTTCTCAAGGTTTGGGAAGTGACTCACCTGTGTGACAGATTCTTCTGGGACCAAGAAGAACTTTGAAAAGAAAGATCATGATGGATGATCCATCTGCAGGCAAACCAGGGCCTCCCCTGCTGCCCCCACGGGGCTGTGCGTCTGGGCAGCCAGGCCCTTTTTGGGCTGAAAGTAAACTCACCCTGGCTGCCTACCTGCCCCCGCAGCAGGGATGTCAGCTGTGCAGAGACCCAGCCTCCGGATCCAGATCTGCACCGAGGCCTAGATCTACACAACAGGCCCACATGTCCGCTCCATGCTGATATCTCCACTCCAGGCTCATATCTGTACTCCAGGCTCATATCTCCACTCCAAACCCTTATCTCCAATCCAGGCTAATATCTCCACTCCAGGCCCATATCTCAACCCTAGGCCCATATCTCCACACCAAACCCATATCTCCACTCCAGGCCCATATCTCCACTCTAGACCCGTATCTCCACTCCACGCTCATGTCTCTACTCCAGGATCCTATCTCTATTTCAAGTTCGTATCTCTACTCTAGGCCCAAATCTCACCTCCAAGCCAAAATTTCTATGCCAGGCCCAGATCTCCACCCCAGGCCCATATCTCCCCTCCAGGCCCAGATCTCCACCCAGGCCCAGATCTCCACCCCAGCGCTTCCTCTGTCGATTCCCTTCCAGGACTCACCAACACACGCCATGCTGACGACCATGAGCGACATGGTGCTGCCGGTGCAGACAGGCGGCCGCGCCCCAGCTCAGCTCAGCAGCGCACAGGATGTTATCTGGCGCCCTGCCCATGCAGTAGACGTGCTGACCACATCATGGGAGGGTGACGTACGCAGGCTCTTCCTACCTTGCATGAGGCGCAGCGGGTGCTCACTCAAGAGGGGAAAATGGCTTCCTGGAAATGGTTCTCACTAGAACTGACACCTTGCGTCCTTCACTCTGACCAGCTCAAAACACGTCTCAAATCCAACCTCCCGGACACGAGGTGACTAAAATCTGTGCTGACGTGAAAGACTTTTTACGTATTTTTATTGTTTTTATCTGTGTTTCAAACTCTTCTCTGTGTGTAATATGCAAAATATCTAATAGGTATTATGAACGTTGTC